GAAACAGTGAGTGCACTCTTCGCACTGTAATTCAGAGATGCTCTATTTTTTCATTAAAACGTTCGGGAACTAGATGATAATACCTTCGATGGATACATTAAGCGATTTAGTATGACATGATTCAAGGTTCCATGCAGTGCAGAAACCTTTATGGACAAAGAGTTAGTATTCTGCACAAGTCTTGGTGGTGGTAACGATCATCGCTATTGCAAACATACGACAACTAACGGGTTTTCAGCCCGGAATTAGCCCCTGTTCTAAGCCGACTTTTCCTATGCCAAACATCAGTTATCCTTCTGACCTCAAAAACTATCGTCCCATCACTCTCAAGTCAGCGATTTGGACTGTTTCAAACCATCATCTCCGACCAACTTCTTACACTTCTCAGAAGCGAAGATTTCTCGAATGACCGTCAATTTGTATTTGTATTTGGATAGACTTTTGCGAGAACAGAATGTTCGCATCTCAGTCAAAAATTTACACATCTCATCAATAGAAGTAAAATATTTAGCCTTTCAGTTTACTGAGAAATTCTGAGGAAGCCCGTTCTCGATTTACAAAGATTCTGGTAAGATAGAGAACTGGGGAATTTCTGTAGAGACTAATGCGAGAGGGTAATAATCGGTAAGAAGAACGTGTAGATGTATGAGAGCAGCATTTAGATAAATCGCCATGTAAAGGATGGTTGGGGTCAGCGAGGATTTTCCGGGCAAATGTTTCATATGCGGACAAGTGAAGTTNACAAACCGCGACGAAGAATTTTGAAGTCTTTCTTTAGTAGACCAGCAAAAGCCATCGGGGAACAATAAAGAAGAACGGGGAAAACACATTGATAAACAAAAAGTGAAATGATTTTTTGCTTGGCATTGAACTGCCTAAGTCTTCGAAGTTACAAGGATAATTTGCGAAGTTTCTGTACAGAGTTGTAAATATGGGATGTCCACTTTAAGTTAGTGTCGATCGTAACCCCAAAATACTTCACAGATTCAACTCTAGTTAGGGGATCCGTGTTTATGACAGACGGATCACAAGGATAAAGAGATCGAGAAAGAGAGAAAGTGCATTCGAAGCACTTGGATAAATTAAGAGACAGTCCAGAACGAACGGAAAATTCATGAATACGCGATAGATTATTCGAGAAATGAAAAAGGTCCTCAGGCACAGAAATGGCTTGGCAGAGGGCTACGTCATCAGCATATTTAAATAACTGGGCTGGAGAACTCGCAGACAGATCACTGATGTAGGTGGAAAACAAGGACGGAGACAATACGGCACCTTGTAGTACTCCCGAATTGTTCACCAGTGGTCTGGACGTTTTCCTACCGAGCCGAGTCTGCTGAGTTATGTTTGTGAAGTAGTCGACGAGCCACGCCAGTAGGTGCTTGGGACAGCCAAATGATTCCAGTTTACGAAGAAGGACGGAACGTGGAACAGAGTCAAAAGCTGATGAAAAATCTAAGAAAACACATCTTACAGACCTCGCAGATGCTTCTAAGGATTTGGTAACGTGATGAACGAGGGAGACAATAGCATCCAAAGTGGACCTGTTTGACTTATAAGCGAACTGGAGATGGTCTTCAGGGGTACAGAAGGAAGCAGAAAGGCGTTTGAGAATGGCACGTTCTGTCAATTTAATACCGCATGACGTTTGAGCAATGGGACGGAAACGTTTGGACAGTGTGCTGGATCTGCACGGTTTTGGAATGGGAATGATCGTGACGGGTCTCCAGCAATCGGGAATTGAATATAAACTGAGTGGCGTGTTGAGGATAGAAGTGAAAGCATCCGTTAGAGCCAGGGCACCATGCCTTAGAAGGGACGAAGATAAACCGTCAGGACGAATACCAGTGGATGATTTAGTTGTGCGAAGGAGTTTAAATGTTTCTTCTCTCGAGAACGGGGTTATGTTAGCTGCATCTTCCTTAAGTGGTGAATGCTGATGAGGTCGACAAGGGCACTTTCTTCTTCATCCGAAATCTGGCAGTAGGTCGCGCAGAGAAAAACAGTGGACCTTGGCAGCGATGAATGTCGGATTTCTGTAGATTTTTAGTGTCCAGACCAATGATGCCCGCGAAATATGTACTACAAGTAATAGATCAACCAAGAGAGAGATAGAGACGGTTACCACGAAACCGCAGACGGTAGTATTGATATTAACTGTAGAGCGAAGAGAGAGGAACGCACAGATGAGTAAGCGTGCATAAAGCGAGGTCAACGTGCCGCGATCAACTAGGTGGTCTTGGTCCGGTTTCGGTTCCCTCGAATCCAATCACGCATCAGTTTGCGTCAAGCTATCCACAGGGTTTGGTGGAAACTCTAAACGCACGACGATTAGACTGCGATAAATTTTTTCAACCAGCATGCCTTTCAGAACGCACTGGGTAAAAAGCTAGAATCAACCCGATCTGATGATAGCAATCAGCACTGTTCACTTATTAAGAATGCTACACATTCTGGTAGTTTCCGTTTAAACGACCATTAACCCTGCACTTTCGTGCGACGGTTTTGGTTGCTGTCTTTTAGCTGTCCATTGGGATGAACAGAAGAAAGACAGGAAAGTAGAACCTGTTAGCTCAGTAAGTTGTGGCTTTAACCGTCGTGTCGTGATACCCTGGATTTTCGCCGAGTCTCGGCAACTCGATGCACGCTGATCGATCCCGACCGGCGCCAAGCATAATGAAATGCGACTCGTACTGAGACGTAAAATTAACGTAGACTTGCGCAGAGACTGCGAAATCTGGTGGTCTCTATGTGCCTCAGATAAGGAGCGTGCTGTCGCCATGGGAAATTCCGGTGAGGTGTTTCGTCTCATTTGAGTCACCGTTAGGAAAGTTTTAATGTATGAGCGAAACCATCTATGCCAATGACGGCTCACACACTCATAATTAACAGCGAAGCCTTATATGCTGGGCAGAGAAATTCAACGCACGGTTTAGCTGGACACCAGCGTAAGCTTATCACGCAGCTGTTCCGGTACACGCTCCATTGTCTGTCTCAATAGACTCACCTTCCGAGACGGAAACACCCAAGGATTTCCAAACCTTGGGACGTCACAAAGTGCCCGACTCCGACGGCCTTCCCCCAGATCTATTAAAAGATGATAGAATANGATAGAATAAATTTTGTTAGAGAACTACAAGTTCTCTTGTCTAAAGTTTGGAACACTGAGCAGCCCTCCCACCGTGGTGCGGGGAATCGATTAATGCTCCCATCTTTAAAAATGGCCCGCCAATCATAGGGGTATAAGCCCGATCCCAATAGCGCCAAAGCTGTTAGTGTCCGTCATTCTTCGTAGATTGTACAAGACGAGTGAGGCTCGTGTCCGCGAGGAGCAGCCGGGTCTTCGATGCATCGATCAAATCTTCACCCTCAAACAGTTGATAGAGCCCCATCATGCTTACCATAGATCATTGCATTCTCAGACATTCCCGCTGCCTACGACTCCATTTATGGGACTGCACTGAACTGTTTGTTTAGAAATCGAGTACCTGAAGAGTGCGTCGATTCTCAAGGAATTGTATCGTCGGGCTAGGGCCCAAGAACGGCTTTCACCACTATTTGCTGTCTTCAGTAAAGATTGCTCTATATCCCTATTCTTCCTCAAACTTGCCATGGAGGATATCCTAAAAGACGATTTGTCCGGTCTAACCAACGATGGAGTCCAACTCCTTACAAAGAACAGAGTTCTGGACTTAGAATACGCCAGTGACATCACATTGTTGGGTAACGATGTACAGGCAATCCAAGATGCTTTAAAATACTTGGCGATGGAGGTATC